TCCTCCTGGGTGTGACGGAGCCCGCCCACAGCCTCCACCACGTTGCACGTGGATCACGGCCGTGAGTCCCAGCAGCTCTTGGGTGGGAGGTGACCTCCCCCGTCGTGGCTGCTGGTGGTGGCCCATGTCCTAACCCAGGCCCTGCTCCCGCACGGGCCAAACAAACCCGTTTCTGCTGGAAAATCCAGAAAGAGGAGCCTGGAAACGCGCGAGGAACCACACGCGGAGCAGCTTCCGCCTGAGCCGGAGAAGCTCCGGGATGCTCCGGGATGCTCCGGAACGCGCTAAACGCCTCCTGCCCCCGCAGCGCCGCCTCTCCGTGGCCTTTCCGAGCACGGAAACGAGGAGTGACACCGTTATTGCTCCGCATGGCTCGTTAAAGTAATGGGAAAAGACGCCTGTCCTCCCGAGCCTCCGCTGATCCAATTAACGGGATCGCCCCGCTTTTTTCCCGTTTTTAAATCAATAAGACACGCACGTCACGAGCCGCTAGGAGCGCGACTTTTTTTCCCTTCTGCACTTATTTATCGACAAAAACCATAAATTAATTAATTATATCAGCCGGCACACAGCTTCTAAAGGAACTAAATGTCTCAATTTAGCAGGGAAAACACTATATTAGGATTTTGCTTCTGAAAGACCCACCAGCGTGGTGACAAGGACGTGACCAGCTCAGGAAAACTGGGAAGAGTGAAAGCGCGGAGCCCACGGGATTAATTATTTGTTAATGAGCAGAGACCAAGAGCGACTTCCCAAAGCGACTGGTAGGAAAAGCCACAGGAGGCTTCACTCAGCCCTGGCCCAAAGGATCTTCTCCGTGCTATTTATTAAAAGTGTTTTATACGGAAAAAAAATGGATATTGCAAAATGGAAGTGTGAGTCTCGAGGGGAGATCCGGAGGCAACGGGAGGATCCATGGATTACACGGAGGTTTCACACGTGAATCCCTTGCACCGGTGTGGGATGTTCCCAGCCTCTTGCAGGAGGTCCCCAGCTGGAAAGGAGGCAGCAAAAGAGGGTTTAAAGCAGAAATGAGGATTAAGGAGCGCCAGCCGAGCGGATCAGCAGAGGGTTGAGGCTGGAAGGGGCCTCTGGAGGCTCCGGGGAGGCCGGTGAGGCCGGAGACCAGACGGGTCCCCCCTGGAGCTGGGAAGGAGCCAGGGCTCCCGACCCGCAGCCAGGACTTTTCCTATAGGAAAAGGAGGCATTTGGGATCCTGGGGTGCGTTAAGAAGAGCATCTCCAGCAGGTCGAGGGGATCCTGCCCCTCTGCTCAGCCCTGGTGAGGCC